ATTTCTCTTGGTACAACCAATTGGCAGAGAACATTTGGGACAAGTGTGATAATGTACATCAGGTGTAGGAGATGGAGGAATGTTATCAGTTGAGGAAGAGAGATTAGTTAGAAGTAGTTGAGCTGGTTTGTTAAGATTCTTTTTAGCATTACTGTTAACATGGACTGTAGTAAATTCGATAACTTGAACATGGTTGGTGTTAGTAGTAGAAATAAATTTGGTGTGATATTTGCCACAGAGACAAATAATCATAGAGGTAGAAGTAGGAGCTTGTTTCTAAGATTTTTGATTAAACAAGTAGTTGCTTTGACTTTAGGAGGGATAGGGTGAGCATTATTGCCCTTTTCTTCTTCATAAAGGGCAATTCCAAAACTGTTAGAGAAGTTTTGATAGAAGAAATTGAGGTCTGCAGTATCAGGCTCTTTGCTGCTTAATGTAGGCATTTTTAGATTTGTTATAAGTTTAATAAGTATTGTGTTAAAAACTTAGAGGAATTTCTTGTAGTTGAATAGTTGATTTTCAAGGGTAAGAGATGGGAACAAGGGTTGTATAATTGAGATATTACAAAAGTCATACTGGGATGTAACTAGAGTTGTTAGGTTACAAATATGGCTCGGGTACTGGTGCAAATAGAGTTTGCAACACAAATTGCTGTGTACAATTAATAAGAACCAAATATGAAAATAATTGATTGTGTTCAATGAATTTCTATTAATAGATGGGTTATAAAATTCTGGTATAAATTAATAAAGTATATATTGGGAAATGATAGTATGGTTATATGAAAACTGTATAAGAGAAAAAGGGGATGGGGTAAGGACAAAAGGTAGAAAAAGAGTTTAACAAAAGAGTAAAAAATGAATTTAGCTGTAGTTCAGTCAATATTTAGTCAAAATTCTTTTTTTAGACTTGTTTTGACAAGACAAGTATGCACTACAACTTTAATTAAGGGTATAAGTCAAGTTATTGCAGTAGAAACTGCAAAAGAGTTAATTTTCTAAAATTGAAAGCCAAAAGTCGTCAGTAACGTTTTCTCTGTAAGTTTGAGAGCTAGAACTATAATATTTTCAGAGTATATGTAAATTACTGAGCTGAACAGTTTACTTAAGACACCAGGACCGGTTGTCTTAGTAAAATAAAAAGTTATGAGTTTTTGGATAGACGATTTTTTTGTTAATTTTTGTGCAATGGATTTGCAGAAAGAGTTTTGCTTATTGCTATTTTTAGGATTTTTAAACTTGTATCACTTAGGATTATAATAATTATTAATTTTAATTTTTTCTTTCATATAATATTTGTATAATTTTAATAAAATAATATTTACATACAATATTGTCTACTGATATTATAAATTTAATTATATATATAACAATTATTAAGCTTTTTAATATTCTTTTTAATAACATTTTTTAATACTATTTAAAAAATTTTTATTAAGAAAGTTCTTATTAAATAGTTATTAATAAATCTTTAATAAAATTTAAAAATAATTAATAACAAACTGTTAAAGGTTTTTATTCATTCAATATTTTAGTTATTTTGAAAAATAACTATTATCAAATATTGTACAAAGTTTTTTGATTATAGTTTAATAAAATTAAATAAAATAACTTTTATACAAATTTTATAAATTTTTAGAATTTGATTAAACTGATTTTTTTTATTATAGTTAATAACTAGTTTTGTGTACATGCTTTGCTACGTGTACAAAAAATACTGTATTAAGAATTTGTAAAGTAGTTTAAATAAATGTAAAATTGGTAATGATTTATAGTTTAAATATGAATTTATTAAAAATTTGTAAATTGGATATAAATTTATTTTGAATTTGTAAATTAGTTATAAATTTATTAAGTATATAAATTAATATATTTAATTAGTTATATATTATATATTTTATTTATAGTGTTTTTCAAATTATTGTGATTAGTCAAGTTATGTAATACATAAAATTAGAAATCTAGAAAGAGTACAAATTTGTGATTGATCAAAAATGGTAAACTAATTATGCATTTGTATTTTTTTTGGATTTTTGATTGTAAATATGTTATATTTAATTTGTTTATAATAGTTGTAATATGTAGATATAATTTGCAAGTTAAATTTATGAGTAAAAATTGTATATATATAGGTAGTCAGATATGTAGTATCATAGGTTCAGTATAGAGATTAGAATTGGGTGTTAATTTAGGTTAATATTAAGATATAATGAAGATTTGTAAGTGAAATTGGTATTATATCGAGTTTAGTTTTTCAAAAAGATGAGCAAAATGGTTTTTTGCTAGTTTTTATGCAGTTATCATGCAGATTATCATGTGGATAATTAACATGTTTTACTTGTAGTTATATATATAGTTATTTGCATAATAGTTGCATGAAAATTAGTAAAATATATATTTTGCCTATTTCTGGTTTTTAGGAATGTATGCATATATGCAATTTGGTTTAATTTAAATATAGTAGTTTGGTTTAGTAAATTTCATAATTTAAGTTTATGTTAAAGGTTTGTTTTATATATTTACGTAAGGTACTGTATATACATATATATTTAAATTGTTATTAGTAATTAGAATTCATATAATACATATAAATATATACATGTACATAAGGGACGTATACAGTACATATTCTTAAATTGGGCATGTACGATGGACAGTTTCTGTATAAGTTTTGAGAGGTTATCAGACTTAAGATATTAATAATTTACTGATCATATAATTATAATATTATATATGTTTAGTTCGATCTGAGCATTCGAATTGACTTATATTATCTAATATTATCATTTTGATATTTTATAGATATTTGTTTTTTTGTGTATTACTGTACAGCGTTGACCAAAATACCCAGGATACTTTATAGTTTAAGCTATATATATTAGAAATTGGAACCGTTTGACCATTTAAAAATTGCTTTATAGTTCTGGGCAGAATTATGTTGATTATAGGCCAGAATTATTTTAATGCTGGTCAAATTGAATGGTTAAACAGTTAAACGATTAAATGATTAAGTAAAATTTTAGGTGGTTCAATCCCTAGTATATATGGGTATTATAGTCAGAGAGATACTATGGTTTGCGTAGAGGGCATAAGTTGTCTATATAAGTGCTGTAGTAATATTTTATATAGTCTAAGTGCAATTAATCCATCCTTGGTACTTGGGATACTTTACATTCTAGATCCTGAAAATTGCAAGTTGTATTATAAAAAGGGTGTCTTTTAGTTCACATTGTACGATAGTTGTCAGAAATGGTAGATTATTAATTTTTTTTATTAGTTACAGTAAATTATCGATTTTGACAGAATCAGTTTTAGGAGAATGTATTGCATATACTTTTTGATTTCAAATTTAGTTAGAATTTTCATTAACTAATCAATATAAATAGAAAATAGGTTTACAAAATATATGCATAAAAATTACTTAATAGGATTATAATCAATGTTGTAACTGATAAATATATAATTTCATTTCTATATTTATTTTCCTTCTATTCAGGATTTTATTTAAGAATTTTATTTTAAAATTGAATAGTACTGGGTATTATTCATGAACTTAGTGATCTTATTGGTGAAGAGGTGGTATTTTAGGTAGTAGAATAAGAGATATTATAAATAATGACCAATGATACACTTTTTTAGTTAATAAGTATAATAAACACTTGATAATAAGTCTTTTATTTTAATATCATGTTTGCATATTGTTTTTTGTTATTATTAGAGTTAAATTTAGCATGGTTATGGAAAGTTTCCTATGCGATGATGGGAGTTAAATTTAGCATGATTATGGGAAGTTTCTTATGCGATGATGGTAATTGTTAAGATTTTATGTTACCTTTATAATATAATATATATATGCATAATGCTAATTATTGCATATAGTAGGTATCTTGTCAATATAAGGTTTGTGTATTTTCAATTGTCAGAGTTAAATTCGTATGATTGTGGGAGGCTTTCCCATGCGATAATGGCAATTTCCAAGATTTTATATTATTTTTTATAATATAATAAATATACATATATGCATAATGTTGTAATAATGCTAATTATTGTATAGGCATTTTGTCAATATTTGGTTTGTGCATTTTCTTTTACGTAATTGTCAGAATTAAATTCAGCATGATTGTGGAAAGTTTTCCTATGTGATGATGGTAATTACTAAGATTTTATGTTATTTTTTATAATGTAATATATATAATATATATATGCAATAATGCCAATTACTGTATATAGTAATTATTTTGTCAACATCAGGTTTGTGCATTTTCTTTACATCATTATTAGAGTTAAATTTAGCATAATCATGATAAGTTTTTCCATCCAATGATAATATTATAATGTATATATATTGTAATGTTTAATGATAATTATTGTATACTCATCTTGTCAGATCTTTATCATTATTATAAGTTGTTATAATACTAATAAAAGTTAAAAAAATTTATTGAATTCATATTCAAGAGGTAAGTAAATATATATTTATATATAAGAAAATATAATATAAAATGTATAATAAAATAAAAAATATTTGATAGTTAAAAGTAATATTATTATTGTGATTCATCAATATTAATAGTATTTTTGCATGATTTTCATGTGTTATGCACTGTAGTTTGAACTACATGTTCTTTTTCTTTTTTACAACCTCGAGTACTCTTTTTTTCACATGTGTTAGCATTCTTTGATCCAAGATCTTCATGTTTTCATACAAAATTGGGTTTATTATTAGATTTTTTAGTATCTAATTCAATATCAGTATTATTAATATCTGATAGCTCTTCAGTGCATTTATTTGCTTTATTATTATTATTTCTTGTACGTTTTAATGGGCGAGAGTCTGCCAATAAGAGTCAGAAAGAATTTCATCTACAGATTCATTGGGGATCAATAATTTTAAGGTTTTCTGAGATGATTCTCCAGAGGTTTCAGCAATACTTTTGTGTATTGATAAAAGTTTTGAATGTGATTTAACAGATACTGAGGCTTGTTGATTGTAAAAATTAGAATCTTTTTTGTTAGAATTTGTATTAATACAGGAGATATTCTTTGTGTTTATGTACAGATTGTTATCGATAATTTCCATTTGTCCAATAATGAAAATAAATGATTCTTTTGGTTGAATAATATTTTTAAGTTGTGCAAATCGTGAATTCATAAATGGGAATACAACTTTGACATTAAAGTTGTAATTATGGCTAGTGTAGTCAGATACGATTGTTTCAATGATCGCATTTTCAGTATTCTTAATTTCATTAGGTAGTTCTTGAGCTGTTCCAACCAGAGATACTTTTAATGGGCATCTATTTGCTACAGGAATGATGGTATTGATGAAAATGCAAGTCGATGTTGTGACAGTCATTTAAATAAATAATAATTTGTAGATTTAAAATTGTATTGACTGTGTTAATTAATATATTTAATATATTTAATTAATTAAATACCTTGGGTCTTATAATATTATTATATTTTTTCTGGTACAATTTTCCCTCTAACTGCAAAATATTCATCTTTTTCAAATATTGCTTGTGTATCTTGTGTATCTGAATCTCTTTTATCAAGAATAAGACTAACTCAATTTCATTAGCTTGATTAACTGGGTAAGTTCCAATTGCCCAAATATTTAAAATTTTGTCTTTTTCATTTTGTTTGACAAATTTAATCTTAACAATAGTATCAGCGCAAATTGGCATTATATAGGTAATTTTTTTATTGCAAAAGGTTGTTGGTAAGGTGAAAAGTTATTTTTTTTATTTATATATAAGATCTGGAGAGCATATACATAAGTATTGAAAGGCATTATATGCATATATATATACAATATATATAATAATATATATTTATTATATAATATATATAATATTGATATATATAATATATAATTATTAATTTTTTTTTTTTAAGTTAAAGTCTCTATCTTGGGAGTTGCGATGTTTTTATTCAAGTATATTAGGACATGGTGTGCCACCAAGGGCTCACCTTACATTGGA